GGAGAGAAGATGGTGCATGGCTCCAGCCCTCCTGGACGGTGGATGCCAGCCTCTCTGGCCCCAATGCACAGGGAGGTCTTGAAGCACAAGATTGAAGCCTAGGCAGCCTCAGGAGACTGGGAGAGCAGAGCTGAATTGAGGGACTTTGGGGGGTGGAATGTGGGTAGGGCTAGCTAGACAGTGTGGGAAGGCATTGCCCCCTTCTGCCTTACACCCACCACCAAGGTGTCAACTCACAGGGGCAGGTGAGAGAGATCTGCACCATGGACTAAAGGTTTATGTATCACATGAAAAGATTTGATAAGTGCCTCAATATGGAAATATTAATGGATTAAACAGTTGAATAATTTTATACTGAGATTGTTTTTTGGTTCAACATTCTCTGAGAGGAATAGAAATGGAGGAGAGATTAGGAGAAAATGAAAACAAGAAGTTTTACCTCATGAATGTTAGAAGCAAAGTTAAATATCTGCCCAGCATTAAGGCATTGTTAGGGAGAAGCAAGGAAAAAAATAAGGGAGAGCTAGAAGTACAACTAGAAACTGACTTCATACCTAGTGGTACAGCTTGGTATAAAAATAGAATGATGCCATGAAGAAATATAAAGCATGCAGTCTCTGTTCCAGATTTATTTCCTAATCTTTAGGACATTATCTGAATTTCGCGATCTTGCTCAGCCTGTAGAAGGGCAGGAGAGATTGGATGTGGTATAATTAGATCCCAACTTAATTTTAAATGTTGGGAGTACCAGTGTGGGTAATTCCATGATCATTTCAGTATATACCCTGTGGCTCCCATGAGCCTTCCTCCTTAGCCATCCTGTCTTTCAGGCAACCTACTGATGGAACTTCATCATCTTGAAGTTCAAATGAAGGTTCAGGAGGGGGTTGGCTTCCTGACATACCAGTCATAGTAGTTCCAAATCCCCCTCAGGTATGTTTCTGCACTTTTAAAGAATCCTGCCTTTAAATCCTTTACCAATCCTTTTTATATGATCACTGTGTACCATCCCTACAGAGTACTGCTCAGGATATTTTCCACGGTTTGCAACATCGCAGCCTGTTTCCAGTTTCATGTTCTCCCCACTGAGCCCCACAGATCCCACTACGAGGAGGGTATATAAATCCCATTTTGCCTTGGCCAATCTGACAATTAGAGAAAAAATTCCTTCTTAGCCTCCTGAGAAAAGTGCAACTAACACAATGCCCCCCCCAAAAACTCAGTATTTCACCACTGTTTCACTTCTTCCATAGATAGGAGGGTAAGTTCCTATCTTTTCCAAGCTGTGGATCACTCTGAATCATAGAGAGGCAGTAGGTCCCCAGATTTTGTATGAGGCTGTAATGTGTATTCTAAAGCAAGATTTGGGTGTCTGGGCAACTAGAGTGAGCCTTCAGTGCAAATATCATCTCTCCTTTGGGTGCAGATCAGACATAAATGTGTACATTTGGGAAATATGGTGGGATTCCAGCTACAACATGCCCCCTACCCCTCCTCATAGGTTTGTACTTTACAATGCTTTATTAAAGGTCCAGAACAAAATACATTGTATCTTTTTACATATAAAAACCTATTCTGAAAAACTTCTCAGGTTGAAAAGTCGAGTGCCCCAAAAGTAGGAAATGCCAGCGTTAAGACCGTCAGTACATCCTTGTGTGTGTGCGTTATGATAGTCTTTAATGACAAGATCACAGACCTTATTATGCATAGACCCTCTAAGTCAGGATTCATCGTGCTTACTGAATGGATAATTAGTTCATATTTCTTTTTATCCTCCTCATTCAGTGTGTGGCACCATATTTAAATATGACACACCTTCTAACCCTCTCGTTGAATAGAGCATTATTAATTAAATATCATTAATTGCCTCTTGGGCTGCTTTATATTCCCATAGAACAAGTGCTTCACAGGCATTGATGACAAGAATTCATCTTCATAAAACTCCTTCATGGTTGTATCTCTGTCTGATAGTTTGGGAGAGTTGTAAGCATCTCAAAATGTATTCTTATAATGGAATGTATTGACAACGTAGACAACTCCACATATAATTGTTTTTTTCCGACAATTCCACCTAAAATCTTCTGTGAATGACAGATTATTTGAGTAGCAAAATAAATTGGAGTTGGTAAATGTAAAATAATGCGCAGTGGAAAACATAATCACAACTATGCATAGAAAATGATGGGGTCTAAATTGTGGCCACTCGAGAAAAAGATCTTGGAGTCATCAGGGGTAGTTCTCTGAAAATGGTCAAAAGCACTAACAGTATCAAGAACCACTAGGAAAGGAATAGATAATAAGACAGAAAATATTATAATGCTATAAATCTATGGTATATCCACACCTTGAATACTACAGGGAGCTCTGGTCTCCCTATCTCAAAAAATTAAAATTGGAAAAGATACTGAGAAGGACAATAAAATGATTGGGTATAGAACACCTTTCATGAGAAGAGATTAAAAAAAGTCTGGAACCGTTCAGTTTTGAAAAGAGTTGGCTAAAGGGGTGGGAGTGTGATACCCTATAAAAGCATGAATACTGTAGAGACAGTGAATAGGGTAGGGATATTAATGCCTTTGCATAGCACAAGAACTAAGGATCAGTCAATTAAATTATTAACCAGCAAGTTTAAAAAAACAGAAAGGAAGTACTTGACACAGTACACAGCATGTGGAACATGTCACTAGGGATGTTGTAAAGGCCACAAGTATAACTGGGTTCAAAAAAGAATTAGATAAGTTCATGGAGTATAGCTCCAATGGCTGTTCGCTAAGATGGTTAGGGATTTAATCTCATGCTGTGGGTGTCTCCAAACCTCTGACTGCTATAAGCTGGGACTGGATAATTGCCCCATTCTGTTTATTATGTCTGAAGCATCTGGCTCTAATTGGAAGGCAAGGTACCTGACTAGATCAGTGTTTCTCAAAGTGGTCCGTGAAACCACTTTGAGAAACCTATTAACTGATTGTTCTGGTTTGTTTACTTACTGGGTGCTGTGGCCACAGAGCCTCACGGCTCCCATTAGCTCTGTTTTGCTGTTTGCAGCTAAGGGGAGCCGTGGGAAGCGGTATCCCGGCCCATGATGCTTCCCATGGTTCCCCTTGGCTGCAAACAGTGAAACAGAGCCAATGGGAGCTGTGAGACTCCATAGCCACGGTGCGGGTAAGTAAACAAACTGGAGCGGCCAGTTAATAGGTTTCTCAAAGTGGTTTCGTGGACCACTTTGAGAAACACTGGGATAGATGGACCTTTGGTATGAGCTAATGTGGCCATTCTTATGTTCTTACTAGTTGTCATACATTCATCAGTGCCAATAACTGCACTGCACTTTAATAGTGCCTCATATTTTAACAGTGCACTAATGTTATGGATAAACTTAAAAAACAACAAATGGTCTGGTAGCATTTTATAGACTTACAAAACATGTAGATGGTATCTACATGTTGTGAAGTTAGTTACGTCTAGAATGGAGACATTTCTTTCAAGATTAACCACTACAGTTAACCAATTCCCTCTCCGCCCCCAGTCCTCCACCAATAAACCAAGATAAAGGTTTCTGGTTAGCATATTATATTAATGAGGAAGTCTGCTAATGCATCTGATACATGATAATGAAAGTTTTCTTCGTATTTTTGTCCTCAGTTATCCTTGTAGCTGAGAATATGAATACCTAGCTCTTAGTGGGTTATTTATAAAAATAATTGTGTAAACAGGTGTCCAGACTCTTCCAGGGCTTCCCTTCTGGCAGCTGCCCCAGGAGAACCTGGAGGCATGACTTCCACCAGCCCACCTGCCTCGTTCTGCTGCCCCCAGCCTGTTTGTGGGGCTCTTCTCCTGGGATTTCTCAGCCCTGTGCGGAGCAGCAGCCGCAGCTGCTTCTAGGGTTCCCTGCCCCAGCCACTTGGCCCCACGCAAGGCAGCAGCTGCTTCAGGGGTTCCCCAACCCCCATCTGTGTGGGATGGCAGTCTCTCCTGAGGCTCTCAAACCCCAAGTCATCAGTCCTGCAGGCTGTTGCTGACCAGACTCACTCCACTCCCAGCCACTTTTAGCCTCTGTGGCCAGGGCTCTCTGGTCTAGCAATGTCTGTAGTCCTGCCGGACCATGGATGTTGCTGGACCACAGAGACCTGGAAGAGAGGTCAACTTGTATATGTCAAAATAATTTGGAGGTTTGTAGAAAATGTGATCTCTGAAATTGAATGGTTCCAAAAACTTTGGGGCAGACTCAATGTGGAAGAACTCTTACATAAAATTTTGGGTGTTATAAAATACAGAAAATTTGGGAAATATTTGATATAATCTTCTCTTTTGACTGTTTATTGAGGTGCTTGCCCCAGTTTATGTTTTAATGAAAGTTGTATTATGAATAATTCTGGTACTTTCCTGGCTTTTTTTTCCATATCCATTTAGTTTAATATAATAAACCTGGCTTGCAAATACCTTATTTTGCACATCTTGCGGAGAATTGTTTTAGATAATTGTAACAGCAATATGAGTAGATAATTAGAATTAAATGACTTGAGTATTTGTAATCTTTTCTCGTTTTTTTTCATTTTTGCTCTACTTTGTAAAATCACTGATAGCAATATATTTTGATTAATTTTTTCATCTTTACAGAAGAAAATACTGCGTTCTCTGTTTCTTCTAATCTGGATTAAATTCATTGATTGTCAAAGGTTCTGCAAACTGCGAACATTGTACTTTCCCCTTTTGGTTGTTTTGCATCATTCCATATTATGTTGTGAACTATTCAGATGCAGATTATGTAGCATTCCTGTGGCTTAAATAGAAAGCAGCATTATTTTTAAGTAAACTGTACCAATAACTCATGGTGAGATCAATGATAAAATGGTCAAATATGTTGTCCAATTATTCTCTAGATATTGACTGTGTTTCTTTTTATGAGATGCTACCTAAACTGGAAAAGCAATTAATCTGTTTATTGAGGTGCTTGCTTTATACATCTCTTCATTATAAATTTGAAAATTATTCCTATACAGGTCTCCAAATTAGCAGATGTTATGGTGAAATATGGTGTGAAGAAGGGAGATTGTGTGGTTATCTACATGCCCATGATTCCACAGACAATGTACACTATGCTGGCATGTGCAAGAATAGGAGCCATACATAGCCTCATTTTTGGTGGATTTGCTTCTAAAGAGCTTTCCAGCCGCATTGATCATGCAAAGGTAACAAACATTACGAAAAACAAAGCCCATTGTAAGTTATAGAAAATAATTGATTGCTGATACTTTAATTTTTCCCCAGTGATTGTTATATTTCCCTTATATGGCAAACAGTTCTGTTTTGTTGACAGATCATAGCATGTGGTCAGATCCTTATGCAGAGTACTATATTTTTATAGTAGATACTGCATTTTAACTTTTTGACCTTTCAAAGGATGACCTTTTATCATGCTGCTGTCTTTGCTTAGAACAAACATCCTCCTATATGGCAACTATTCATTGCTCCAAAATCTCTGCTTGAAACCTGCTTTTACCTCACACTTTCCTTGATTGTCAAAGATACTGCGAACGTTGTACTTCCCCCTTTTGCTTGTTTTGCATCGGTCCATATTAGTTGTGAACTATTCAGCTGCAGATTATGTTCAGGTACACAATGTGATTATAAAGCACAGGCAGGGAACCTTTTTTGGGTTGAGGGCCACAGACCCACGGGAAAATCAGCCAGTGACCACACATAAGGAAGAAGCAAAAAAACAACCCCTCCCTCCCCATCCTCACTGACCTGACCCCCAGATGAGAAGGAGAAAAAAAATCCTCACAGATGTGGCTCCCAACTAAGAAGCAGGAAAAAAAAAGACACTCTCTTCAGTCCCCTCAAACTTCAGCCCCATGGCGGGGGGAGGCACTGAGGCTTAGGGCTTACCCCTAGGGCTGTATTAACTCTTCTGGGGTCCCAGGGACTAGTGGATTTTCTGGGGCCCCTGTAGGCTCATGGGTGGGGCCAAAAATGAGGGGTTCTGTATGTGGGAGAGGTTGCTAGGGAACAGGCTGGGCATAAGGTACGGGTTCTGGATGGAAAGGAGGGTGCAAGAGCTGGCTGGGGGGTCTGAGATGGAGAGTGCAAGAGTGGGCTGGGGGTGAGGAGTCTGGGCAGGAGGGAGGATTCAGGAGTGGGGGTCTGGGCAGGAAGGAGGGTGCAGGAGCAGGATGGGCTCTGGAAGGGAGAGGGTGAGGGAGCAGGCTGGGGGATGCAGGGTTTGGGCATAAGGGAGGGTGCAGATGGGGGTAAAGAATTGGGGTACCACTGCATGCTGCAGGGAAGTGCTACCTGTAGGTACCCCCTCCCGTTGCTCTGATTGGCTGTGATTCAAGGCTAGTAACAAGGGGCAATACTTGCAGGGATCCCTTTCCTGCAGTATGCAGATCTGTGCGGAGCCACTTCCTCCCCTTGCCAGGTAGAGCCCATGGGCTCAATGTGGCCTCCAGCTTGCTTTGATCAAGCCCATGAGGCTTGGGGCTTGCTCCTGCCCTCACAGTGACTACATTGTCTTATGCCACTGTAGGAGTGGGAGCCCTAAGCCTTTTGGGCCAGATCAAAGCAAGCTGGGTGCCAAATCTGCCTGTGGGCTATAGGTTCTCCACCCTTGTTACACAGTATTTAGTGTCAGATAAGCCTAATACTTAATTCATAAGTCAGCAATAGGCAACCTAGCCCAGTGAGTGTGCTGCATGAGTAGACCTTCTTCATCTCAGTGGGCCACAAGATTATTCTAACCAAGACAGACTCCTACGATGGATAGTTTTTATAACTATGCTGGAGTACCTAGAATTTCTGGGGTTTGCCAATTGATCTGTAGCAGTGCTTTGATTGCATGGATAAGGAGTAAGTGGGTCTCACAGTCAGTGCGGTGTGCAATCAGTACGCACCTCACTTCATAGAATCATAGAACTGGAAGAGACCTCAGAAGGTCATCAAGTCCAGCCCCCTGCTGTAGGCAGGACCAATTCCAACTAAATCAACCCGGCCAGGGCTTTGTCAAGCCAGAACTTAAACACCTCTAGGGATGGAGACTCCACTACTTCCCTAGGTAACCCATTCCAGTGCTTCACCACCCTCCTAGTGAAATAGTTTTTCCTAATATCCAACCTGGACCTCTCCCACCACAACTTGAGACCATTGCTCCTTGTTCTGCCATCTGTCACTACTGAGACCAGCCTCTCTCCATCCTCTTTGGAACCTCCCTTTAGGAAGTTGAAGGCTGCTCTCAAATCCCCCCTCACTCTTCGCTTCTGCAGACTAAACATACCCAAGTCCCTCAGCCTCTCCTCATAAGTCATGTGCTCCAGCCCCCTAATCATTTTGGTTGCCCTCCGCTGGACCCTCTCCAATGTGTCCACATCCTTTTTGTAGTGGGGGGCCCAGAACTGGACACAATACTCCAGATGCAGCCTTACCAAAGCCGAATAAAGGGGAATTATGACATCTCTGGATCTGCTGGCAATGCTCCTCTTAATGCAACCTAATATGCCATTAGCCTTCTTGGCTACAAGGGCACACTGTTGACTCATATCTAGCTTCTCATCCACTGTCACCCCAGGTCCTTTTCTGCAGAACTACTACTTAACCGGTTGGTCCCCAGCTTGTAACTATGCTTGGGATTCTTCCATCCCAAGTGCAGGACTCTACATTTGTCCTTGTTGAACCTCATCAGATTTCTTGTGGCCCAATCCTCCAATTTGTCTAAGTCATTCTGTACCCTATCTCTGCCCTTAAACGTATCTACCTCTCCCCCCAGCTTAGTGTCATCCGCAAACTTGCTGAGGGTGCAATCCATCCCCTCATCCAGACCTTCACATGCCATTGCTTAATTAGGGTGCAATCCATCCCCTCATCCAGATCTTCACATGCCATTGCTTAATGTGTGTGTCACTTCAGTAATACTGGTAGGAAAAAATATGTGAACAAAACCAGTGGAATCTGGCAACCCTATGCATAGGCAACAGTAAATAAAATGTCTTGCTGGCCACACATAGAACCCCATTGGGCTGCAAGTTGCCCACCACGGCTATAATTAAAATCTAGCAATTTCTATTAGAAATAGTATTGGTCACAATATTTTAAATTATGGCTATTCCTTTTGTTGGAATTACAAGTGGAAGAGAGAGGGGGAAATCACAATTTCTTGTCCATGCAATTGTCCACGCAACAGTACATGCAATTTCTTGAAATTCCATTTCTACCTTTTAAGCAGGCTAAAGGAATTAATTTAAGCCTCAGCTGGTATACTGATTGGCAGGTGGCGAAAAGAGCTAAGTAGTAATGCAAAACTTTAAGGTCAGTTTATATAGTTACACGGAATTAGCATTTTTTTTATTTTCACAGTACTTTACAGATATTAGCTAACTAGAAGATTTACCCGGCGTTGCTTGGGTCCTTAATTCAGTTTTTGTTTTTTGGAAAATAAAATGAAAATGTACATGCTTCACTTGACTCATTGCTTCGGGGACTGGGGATAAGGAGTTCAATATGCAGCTCTCCAGCTTTTTTTTAAGTTCACTACAAATTATATTAGAGCTATTTTAAAGCATATGCATTTAAATAATTGTCTAATACATGGCACTCTGCTGAACTGAAAGTTAGTAAGATATTCTTTAGCAGTTAGTTCAGTTAGTACTATAATTTGTGTTTATCGAAAACTGTGGTACCAAACTTACTGTCGATATGATATGCAAGAAAGAATTAAATCTCTGGAACAGAGCTCAAGCTGTGAGTAGTTCTTTTGGAAGAAAGGTCACAATTTAAATCTTGTCAAAAGACCCCAAATGTAAGTACTAACAAGAACTTTCTATTTTATATAGAAAAGTACAGATACTGTACCAGTTTGCCTTAATTTGTCTTGAATTTTAAATAGCTCTGGGAATATTGCATAGACCTACAATTGATGGTTATTAGTCTTCTCAGGTACTGACTGCTGTAGACATAAGCAAATGGAGATGAAGTGATACGGAATGGGAATATAGGCATTTGTTGTAACCTCATCTCACTTGAAGTGGAGAATAAGATATACTTTACTATTCTGAAATAACATTCTTTTTTCTGATGTTAGATTTAAGCACACTATTTTTATAGGCAACTTTATTTTAATATTTAAAAAGAAAACTTCAAGCATACTTGTGGGATTTTCACTGTGTCACAGAGTAGCTTCCTCCAAAAATGGATTGCTGATAGACATCAGAAAGAATAGACCAAAAATAGTGCTTGAAGAAAACCCTTATTCCAGAACCATCATCTTTCCTGTCACAGCTGTGTGATACAGGAGCTGGGTGCCAGTAGAGAGATACCATTCGCTGAATGTCAGCAATCAGCACCTGCAGCAGAGTTAGTTTCTAGGCAACCTCATCAGTACAGCTGGGCTGCAGCAGGCTACCTGTCTGGCCACATTCTCTGATTGCCTGGAGAGGCCAGTAGGCCAGTTTTCAGGTCAGCAGCAGCAGTATCAATTTGCTGGCTGCTCAGTGCTCATGACCACTTCTATATTATCTTCCTGCCTTGCACTCAGCTTTGCATCCATCCTGCCACTACCTTGAACCTCTTTGCCTGCTCTCCTGCTTCTTCCCGTTGCTGACCTTGAATTTGACCCTTGGCTCCAGCTTCTGCCTCTGCCATAGTCCCAGGGTCTAATACTGGTCCTCATTAGGAATATGAATGGTTAATCCTTAATGGGTGAGGCTTGCCAGTTCCGATTAACTGGTGGGGTACAGCAGCTCCTATTCCACCACAGGAAGGGGGCTGCTTTAGCTCCACAGGGCCTGCTGCAGATGTGGGGTGTTCTGTCCCAGTCAGATCACCCCCTGCCGGTGGTGGGCCTGGCTCGGGTGTGCCACAAGCAGGGACACTTCTCCCTGGCTAGAGTAGCACCTGTCCGTGGTGGGGATGTGTGTGGGGCAATCCAGACCTGCTGTGTTGTGTGAGGGGGCCATTCCAAGCCCAGCCAGACTAGAGTGGGTTCCCCCTGCTGGCTCCCCCTTTAATTGGTTAACCATTATATTTAACCAGTTAACCAATTAAATGGGATTTTACATCCCTAGTCCTCATGCCTCACCACTAGGCCTGAGACTTTTTCTAAACACTAGGGTAGACTATTCTCCTGCCTGTTGCCAGACCTAACAGCTGCACTCTCTCCTCCTTGCACAATCAGCTCAGCTCAACTAAGTCATAGGGCAATTAGAGTGCATGTTACTGGCTCAGGGGCAGGAAGAGGCTCTGTCTGGCAGGTGAAGTGGATGGGATTCTGTGGCCTGGGATGTCTCTCTAGATGGTGATGCATTCTTGGGCCTATCTACTCACAGGGACTATTACAGGATAAGGGAGTGCCTGGACACTTATGGGGAAGAGCAGGTAGGGGAAGGAGTTGCAGACTCAATTATTCACAGTGGTACTTAAAAGGAACAAAAGGAAGTGCTTTTTCACATAACGCACAATTGAAGTGTGGAACTTGTTTTCTGTGGATATTGTGAAGGCCAAAGCTACAATGAGAATCAAAAAAGTATTAGGTAAGTTCATGTATGATAGATTCATCAATGGCTATTAGCCAAAATGGTCAGCAATGCAACCCCTATGCGCTGTGTGTCCCTAGCCTCTAACTTAGGGTTGGGCAAAAGGCCCATCAAGCGGGTTAATCTAGCCCATGGAAGCCCTGCCGCTCCCCTGCCCCCAGGCTAGTTAGAATCTGAGTGTGAAGGGGAGAGTGCACCAAGTTTCCTCCACCCTGCCAGGAGCATGCGGCTCTTTGAAGCACCACATGCTCCTGGCAGGGTGGGAGGAGACTTCATGTACTCCCCCGCCCCCAAGCCGTGATGGGCCTGAGCATGAGGGGAGTGCACAAAGTTTTCTCCGTCCTACCCCTGCCCTGTGAGAAGCGCATGGCACTTAGAAGTGCCACGCACTCCTGGCAGGGTGGGAGGAGGCTTAGCATGTTCTCCAGCCTAGATGTGATTTGGGGGGGGGGGCAAAGGGGCTGTGGGTGGAGATGCCCAGAAGCATCCTGGCCCTGCCCCTTCCATTTGAGGCCCCTCCCCTTCTGGTGCGGCCCAGGGCCACTTCAAAAATTTCTGAAGTGGCACTCTGCAAAACATTATTGCCCACCCCTGCTCTAACTGCTAGAAGCTCAGAGTGAATGACTGGATGGATCAGTAGGTGAGTGCCTCTTCTGAAAATTGGCCATACTCAGTTTTAAAAATCTTGATTATCTGAGTAAGTCCAGAAGCAAATTGAAGAACAGGGGTGTGTGTGGCCTATGCTGAAAGTAGTGAATGGAGATTTCAGAGTGAAAAGGGTTCTTTAGGCATGTAGGAGATCCATGGGTTGTGGAAGTGTTGGTGTAGAGGAGGGAGATCAGGAATGCGTGGAGAGGGCTAGAGAAGGAAGAAACTATACATATTAGGGAACTGGGTCTGGACTGGGGAGATCCATGTGTCTGTGTGAACAGCACTTTTGCTCCGCTTCTCACTGGGACAGGATTGCAAGGAGAGCTCTTAAAGGAGACTTATATTGATGTTGTGGAACGTTGCCCTCTTTATACTAGCATCACCACTCCTGTAGCACTGTTTTTTCGAAAAAGAGCATCTAGACTACAATCAATACTTTCGAAAAAGCAAGTCACTTTTTCGAAAGAGAGCACCCAGGCAGTCTGGATGCTCTCTTTCGAAAAAGCACAGTTTGCATTACATAGCGCCTTTCTTTGAAAGAGCACTTTTGAAAAAAAGCATTATTCCTCCTAAAACAAGATTTTCTGCAGTTGAAAAAACTGCCGTGTTCTTTTGATTTACTTTCAAAAGTAAAGCAGTCTAGACGCAGGAGAAGTTTTTTCGAAAAAAGGCCACTTTAAAAAAATCCAAAAAAACCCTGTAGTCTAGACACACCCATGTGCTAGACACACGCAGCCCACTTTCCTATCCATATTCTTCCTCCTTCACTAGACTATTGCATATCTCTCCTACCTCAACACCGGAAAAGTAATCTGATGTTACGTAGCACCCCTTAAAAAGCAATTTGAGCAAAATTAGCTTTGACTCATCTATAAACATAACAATAGGAGACAATAATTATTAGTATCTTAGATTAATTACAAACTAATTTGTTTAAATGTAGCCTCCACATGACTTCAGTTAAGATGAACTTTATGGAATGTTTGAAGATTCTAACTTATTCTGTTGTTGAGTTTATTCCAGTTAAAAATATGCTGAACTTATTTTTAGAAAAAGGACATTTAAAAATATTTTTAAAAACTTTTAAATTCAAACTAATGAATGAATTTCTTTAGTAGCATATTTGGGGTTGGTGCCCAGTATTATTCATATATAAGAAAGCTATTAAGTTCCTGTTCTAAATTCAAAACTCAACTAACCTATAACTATAGAGTTGGGGCCTCTGCTTCCATAATGAGCGTTCTGGAAATGTGCACAATTAATAAATTAGCATGGTCAGATTGTGAGATTGCACATTATAAATTTAAGAGCACTCTTGTTGTGCTTGCAGATTTGCACAGGAGAGAAGATTGATTCTGTATTAAGTAAGATGAGTCTGACTATTAGTTGACTTTTACTTCTTGGAATAGGACTAGTATAAATATTGTTTAGTTAATTTTTGAAGGGAGAGGTTTGGGAGTTATGCCAGCACATTTGGTATATTGTTGTAACATATCAGAGATGCCCTGACTTTAGACTGCACAATGTAATGTTCTCACTTTCAGTGTAAATGAAGAGTGTGTCATCCAAACAAACATTTAAGAAGTGTAGAAACTTGTAGTGGGTGAAGATTACAATGTTCTTTTTAGAAATGAAGTGAACATCTGCATTGTGTGTAAGGGCTTTATTTACTGAATAATTTTATGACGAACATTTTTAATGTACAATGAATGATCCTCTTCACTTTAGCCAAAACTCATTGTAACTGCAACTTTTGGGATAGAACCAGGAAGGAAAGTGGAATACATACCACTTCTAGAAAGAGCACTGGAAATGATACAGCATCGACCTGAGAAAGTTCTCATATACAGTCGACTTCATTTGGTAAACCAAATAGTTCTTACTTTTAAACTTTTTATGTGTTGTCTTGCTGTCCTTTTTTTCTTTTTTAATCAAATAAAATATGTATTGCTATGCGTTTTAATTGGGATCTCTTGTGTCATCAGTTTTAAATAACTTTTAATTAGCTAGTAGAAGCGACGAGGAGTCCTGTGGCACCTTATAGACTAACTGAAGTGTAGGAGCATAAGCTTTCGTGGGCAAAGACCCACTTCGTCAGATGCAGTCTAACACGGCTCCTCGTCACTTTTGCAGATTCAGACTAACACGGCTACCCCTCTGATACTTAGCTAGTAGAACTTCTGTGTCTGAAAGATTAGATAAACTAGATTTGTTCAAGGTATCCATATGGGAGACTGGATGCTACATATCTTTTGAGCCACTCTCTATTATTTCATCTGTTTAATTTCCTTGAATATTTCCATGTTTCTTGGTGTACAGGGAACTGTTCCCCGAGTCCCAGGTCGTGACCTTGATTGGGATGAAGAAATAGCAAAAGCAACCCCTCATGACTGTGTTGCTGTTCATTCAGATCATCCACTTTACATTCTTTATACGTCAGGAACGACTGGCTTGCCCAAGGTAGAGTACTATCTTTAATATAAATTTCTGTGACCAAACTATTTTCTGTTCCATATGAGAGAGCATTTAATTAGAAGGCTGAAAATATTTGCCCGTGCTCACTGCAATTAATGATAGGCCTTGTTAGAACTGCTTTGACCTCATTTGCTCTCATTTCATTGAACTTTTATGATTTAAAGTTCATTGTCTTCCAGTAAATCGCATTAGTGGATCTGAATGTGTGAATGGCATTAAATAAACTGCATTCTAATTTAAATGTTTGTTTAATATAAATTCTTTCAAAGAAAGGACATATTTCTTAGCTACCTATCTGTTTTAGCAGTGTAATATAAATGTTATATGTTTAGTGAGAAGTTGCTCAACAGTGTTTACTTCAATGATGGGCAACCAAGGCTAGTGAGTGAGCTGTATGAGTAACCTTCTTTCATCTCAGTAGGCCACAACTTTGAAATCGGGCATGTGCACTAACCATGACTCCAAGAATAAGATTAAATTAATTGCACCTGATTTTCCTTCTTTATTGTGCCTTTTCAACATAAAGCAATCCATTATTAGGAGCAAATTAAATTGCTGGCAAAAATAACATAAAGAAGCAGAATAGTGATAGAGATGCAGCCGTGTTAGTCTGGTCTAGCTGAAACAAAATGCAGGACTATGTAGCACTTTAAAGACTAACAAGATGGTTTATTAGGTGATGAGCTTTTGTGGGCCAGACCCACTTCCTCAGATCAATATGTGGAAGAAAATGGGCACAACCATATATACCAAAGTGATACAATCAAAAAAATGACCTCATGTGAAATTGACAAATCAAATTTTAGAACGGAGTGGGGGTGAGGAGGGAAGGTTAGTGTCTGTGAGGTAATGACAAAGGGGTGATAATAGGGGAAGTTTCTGTGAGACAGACCCATAGCCTCCTATAGACAACCACCTAACCTCAGGATGATTCTTACCAACAACCACAGGACATACCACACTAATACCAAACCTGGAATTTTCCCTTGCAACAAACCCCGGTGCCAGCTCACACTTAATATCGTGACATTTAACACTAAACTCTTTTTGGTTTACTTGGGAGTGGGACCTGCGTGTGTGTATGTGTGGAGACTAAGGACATGTCAGTGAGATATCTGGATTCAGTAGCACCAGATATATGCTTCTCCATCCCTTTTATTTGCCTCTTCCTCCCCCCCCAGCACTGCAAAAATCGTCTCTATAGTGTAATAAGTTGGAAAGAGAATCCCCCCCCAGCACTGCAAAAATCGTCTCTATAGCGTAATAAGTTGGAAAGAGAACTGTGTAGTGCTGGTGACTTGATGAGGTCAATGGGTGCCCTGGTAGGTGAAGGAAGATATTGAGTGAGTAGAACCCGAGATAAATAGCTAAAAATACAGTTGCATAACAAGAAGAAAACCAAATAAGATGGAGATACGGGGGCAGAGAACAGAAAAGAAAATCTTAAAGATAGTGACTGGCAAGAAGAAACAGGCTGAGAGAGGGGAATAGATTTCCAGGTGCCTATTCATCTTGAGGTGAAATCCATTTAAAAAGGCTAGGAGTGCTACTACCCTCCATGACAAGGAGCTTTCCACAAACAGATAGCAATTCAGTTAATCAAAGCACAGGGGAGCACATGACATAGCTACTTTTGGAGAATTCAAATAACGTACTTAGATGACGTGGCAAAATTTGATTGTGGAGTATTACATCTAAGCGTACACAAGTAGATAGACATAGATCCTGTGATCCCAATACTTCAAAAATTTCTAGCAACTGCTGTGCTAACGGCATCTCAGAAACAGATTCTAAATTCAATAGAGTCAGCAAAAGCTCATAATTTTCAGATAGTGGAAAATTTTCATTTCATGAAATTTGATATAGTTCAAAATGTCCTACCTCCCACATGTTCTATTTAAAATTTTTACTTGGGAAACTTTGATACATGTTGTTCCCAGCGCCTTGCCCCTAGGGTATGAAATTGGTTGTGATTTTTGTCAGTTTTTCTTTTTCCCCTGTGCACTAGTGACTAAGGATGTGTACGACTAGTCGACTATCCGATAAGCAAATGCTTATCTGATAGTTGACACACTAGTCAACTGGTCGGTCCCCCATATCGGATAGTTGACACACTAGTCAACTGGTTGGTCCCCCATCCTTGCTACCTCTATCAGAAAGAGGCAGCAAGTAGGGGAGAAGAGGAGAGGGTGCTTTGAAGTGGCAGCACCGCGTGGAGCCCAGAGCCAGGTCCTGGGCTCCATGCGGCGCTGCCGCTTTGAAACGCCACGTGCAACCCGGAGCCAGGAGGGGACTCGCTTGCTGACCCCGGGCTCCTTGCTGCACTGCTGCTTTGAAATGCCATGGGGAGACTGCTTGAGTCTCCCCACTGGCCCCATGCTTCCTGCAGAGCTTTTGCCTTTGAAGTGTAGCCCTGGGGCTGTTGCTACACTTCAATGGTGGAGGCACCCTTATCAAATAATAAATAGTGGATGCAAATTGCATTGACTATTCGATTAGCCGATTAATCTAAATTTAATTAGATTAGTAGCAGCCCTACTGGTGACATAGCAGCCAGTTAGCCTATCTGTCAGTTTGTTTTTGTGAAACATTCTGGGCTCAGTGAATTAACATTTTCCAATGAAAACCTATTTGGTTGAAAATTTCTCAGTCGGCTCTAGTTCTCAACATAACTGTCTGTGCAAGGTGCTATTAATAGGAATACGTGTGTAGATATACATATATATACATCCCATAGGATGGTGCTTGTGTTCTGTCACTGAAGGGAAGAAGATTAATTTCTGTACATATTTAAATTAAATTTGCTTTCACTTTAAATGTTTTATAACTTCAGTATGTGGAAAACTGATTTTGGAAAGGATTTTAGCTGGGTGATGGTTTGCATTCTGTAAATGACGTCAGATCTAATATTTTGAATCTTCCATATAATAATGCATAAATCAATTTTAATTCGTACTTGGCCTTTCCTCAATGGGACTAATGAATGAACAAACATTTGTAGGATTGGGCTGTTACATTATTCTGATATGGCAAAGATGTCAAAATTGAAATTAGACAACTTGAAATAGTCTAGCTAATTTATAGTAATGATACTTTAGAAGGAGACTTATTGATTGTTTACCTTTTTAAGTGATTTTAATTTTAAATTACTTCTCACTTAGGGTGTTGTTAGACCAACAGGTGGGTATGCAGTTATGTTGAACTGGACAATGTCGGCTATTTATGGACTCAGACCTGGAGAGGTAAGTGCTATTTAAATTTTAGTTGCAGGTATTGAAACTTTTGGAACTCTCTCTCTTTTTTTTAAAAAAAAATCTGAATTTAATATTCATTTTATTTTAGGTGTGGTGGGCAGCTTCTGACTTAGGCTGGGTAGTTGGCCATTCTTACATTTGCTATGCACCTCTCCTGCATGGGAATACAACTGTTTTGTATGAGGTAAATGCTTGTTATTAGTCTTGAAAGAGACAAAATAGGAGAGGTTATATCTTTTTTGGAACAATTTATATTGATGGGTTGTATAAATATTGGAGCTATACAGGGATCTTTTTTGGGTAACTGTTATCACTGTTTGACATTTATGCATTTTAGTAATATGTTTAGATGTGTGTACTTTTAAAAATTTGAAACTACTCCCAAACAAAAATAACAGAACCTAGTATAACACACAACTTGCAAAGACTTGAGAATCTTAATTGTATGCATAATTCCATGAAGTCTATAGGACTACACATATGTATAAAATTAAATATGTATATGCTGTTGCATGCATGTGTGTTTTTTGCATCAAGAATAGGGATGTTAAAAATAATGATTTAGAGTAACTGTAACTGCTGAAAATCTCAGTGGTTACACAGCTACCTGTGCTGCAGCTAAGCCTCCCTGGGAGTTGGGCCACCAGCTCCTGACAATTCAGCTCTGCTACTGGAAAGGAGGCTTTGCTGAAGCAGTGAAGCCTCCTCCCTGGGAATGGAGCGGGCAGCCCTTGCCCGCTTGGCTCCCAGGGAGGACCCTTCGCTGAGCATAAACAACACTGTTAACTGATAAGCACCTGCTTATCAGTTAAACAATTAGTTGTTTACACTCAGTCATCTCTAATCAGGGGCAATAGTGTGGTGTCCTGAAATAAACATAAGTTTGAGACTAAATTTGGGATTTTGTTATCCTGAGCCACCAAAGAATACTTTGGAGGAAATTCTTTAACAATGGAGATGACAGAGGATTGTTCTAGTTGTTTAGCACTGTAATTCTGAAACTTTTAGTGCTATGTGCCCCATACATATGTTTTAAAGTTTGGTGGCTCCCCACAACCAAGTACTTTAAAAAAAATTGACTTAGGATATGAGATTCAAGAATTCAGGATATTATAGTTAGATGGTATTGAAACATTATCTGTCCTGCATATCCCACTCTTCTTGTGGATTTTGGCTTTGTCCCATCAATGCATGTAGCTTAGTTAAGATCTTCAACCAGTATGAATTCATCAAGGATCTCGAAAATGTCCTTGCCAGTTGTTCATTTAGGATTTTTTCACAAAATATGTCTTCAACAATGGAGCAAAAGTCCACAAAAAAATGCTCAATTGGATGCAGAGAAGTTGTGACTTGAGTTTAAATGAATCCAGCACAGGGTAGAGATGAAGCATTGTAGGACGTTTTGTTAGAATATGCAGACGTATTTAGTCGGCACAACAAAACACTGGGTCAATACTGGGAACACCTGACCTATCAAACAAGGACCTTCAAGTGTCCCCAGTTGTTTTCAGCGGGAGTTCAAGATACAACTGTGAAAGATTCAGCGCAGGCTAATTAGGCCCTTTGTGAGCTCATGAGAAAAAATGTAGAGGTGGACTATCATCTATTGAATTATATGACTTTCAGAAGTTCCTGTCCCTTCCCATGGGTTGACACTGACACATTGGATTTCCTGGTTAAAGCCCAATGGTTCTCTATTCTTGGCCTGACTGGTCGGTATTGGCCAATGGAGGTACATTCAGCAGATAAAGTTAAACAGTATTCTTCATTAGCAGCCCTTTGAGTTCAATGTAAAACCATTTAAGTAATGTACCAGGTATGTTCCAAAGCCTTGTGCACATTGTGTTAGCTGACTTGAAGGGATCATCCTGCCTTGTGTACCTGGATGATACCATTGTGATAGGCCAGGAATGGATAATAAGTAGTCAGAGAGCCAGCCCCCCAGAATTAACCCTGGCAAATTGCGCCTAGCCCACGGGCCACTTATCGCCCACTCCTGTGATAGGTCAGACTACTTTGTATTGGATTGTTGTAGATATAGAGCTTATTGCTGTTATAGTAACTGAGTTAGGTCACTAGGGGTCAGCCCAGCTGGTTTGGGCTGGTTTAGTTCTGTGTTATGGAATAAATGGACACTTGCAACTGCTCGTGCTCTTTGTGTTTTCAGTGATTTCTTTCTAAACTGTGGCACTCCAAACGATAAAACACAAACCTTTGAAGATCACTTGCAGAAACTGAAATTGGTACTTGAGAAGTTGAAGGGTACTCATCTGGAAATTAAGATAATTAAATATCCTCTTTTTTGCAGGGTGGTGAAATATTTGGAGCTGTTATTTCTACAGAGGGAGTAATCCCTGCTCCAGAGTAGATGAGGCCATCAGAGCATGGCCAGTGTCTTGGGATATAACCAAGCTGCACAGTTTATTGGGTTTGGTCTCCTATTATGGAACATTTGTAACAGACTCTACTACCTTTGCTAGCCCCTTACACAGGATTTTAGACAAAGCAAAGTTCCCCTGAACTGAGGAGTGTTAAGATGCCTTCTTAGAGTTGGAAAAGCAGTTAATGTTCACTTCCATTCTAACATGTCCAGACTCATTTCCGTTCCTAGTTGTGCACTGATGCAAGTGAAGTAGGCATTTATGCAGTTTTGCCACAAATGGAAAAAGAGCTAGGAGAAGATGATAGCCTAGTTTAGCCAAGCCTTAAGTAGAGGGAAGTGCAAATGTGTGATGACAAAAAAGGGGAGGGAGCTGCCTGCTGGGGTGACCATTACCATACATTTTCAACAATTGCTTTTAGGGAGAAGGAGTATGTTGAAGACCATTATTTTAGTGGCTGCACTGTTTCCATCAGCCTGAACGGTGATTAGCCAGATGTGGTTGGTCAAGTTTGACTATGGCTTGTATACTGTCCAGGAAAACAACACCAAAATGCCATTGCCTTGTCCTGGTGGTCTTTTTTGGGAGAAGTTGAACTGCAGGCTTAAGGGGATAGAGGTGCTTGTTTAAAGATGTGTTTAGTCTGCCAAGTCCACAGTTGCTGCTCAAGACATTCTGTTTGGACAGTTCCCTAAAGTCCTTGGTAACCTCTCCAAGTAGCATACTAGGTGGCAGGCACTGGCTATGTTTGAGGCTTGTTCTTATCTCATGACAGATTCACCAATCCAGCCACCTGGTTTTGACCTACATCATCTTTGGATAAAATTCAGTCACTTTAGATGTAGAGATCAGATGTGCTGCTAATGGCTATAAATAGGGTCTATATGTCTCTCCTTTTGTTTCTATGGCCAGTTAGGAGATGTAGGTTGCATCCATTAACAAAAGTTGCCTTGAGTTCCTCATAGACTTGAATAATGCTCTTCACTCAGCTATTGAATGATTAAGACACTTAGACTAACACAATTGAATTAATGATCTAGATAAATGCAAACACAATATGTACATATATATGAAATTCACTCTACATTCTCATTTATACCAGATGGTTGAGATTTGAGTTTGTAATGTGCATTTTGAATAATGTAGTGCAGCAATATGGTGACATTTGTAACCATCAAATGCATGCTCTGCACTTGGGGTTCTTGTCCAGTATTTATGCCAGTGGCATATTCAATATGGAAGCTATATATACTTCTTAATTTAGGTATAAGCTCTATGTGATATAAAAAGTTTATTTTCTAAATGTGATTTTTTTCTAGTGAAAAGACCATAGCAGTAACTATATTTGCTTAAAAGTCACTCTATTTTTACTTAATCTCTTCATCATTTAAAATAAACCAGCATGGTGACCTTCACCCACTACAGCAATCAGAATCAACAACCACTTCTGCACAAGGTCATGCCCTTCCATCGGAGGCCCACTCTACCCCCTGCTCTTGCCCTCCAGGGCCAGAGGAGCCCCAAACTCCCCCCCACAGCTCCCGCATTATTAGAGGTTTGGGGAGACATAGCTCATTGGGATTCTGATGCTGTTCTACATGGTTCCAGGTCCAGGGTTGGTGTAGACTTGACTCTCTGTCTCCAGCTCTTTTGTGACTCTCCTTTTTGCACATATACTTCCCCCAAATTTCCCTAGCTTCAACTAGCACTTCTTCTTCGAGTAATGAGCCTGTGGGTTCTCCACAGTTGGTGTCAGGCTTGTCCTGGCACCACAGATTGGAGACTTTGAGAGCAGTGATCAGGCAGGCTGCGCATGCGCGAGCAGAGAGTGGTACTCCCACTTTTGAAGTAGCACTTGCAGCCCACTTCTTCTCAGTTCCTTCTTTGTCTCTATCGGCCACAGATGGAGCTCAGTTCTTTCCTCCTCAGCATGCTCTGCAGGACAAAGCAAAACCACCTTATTAGTTTAGATAGGCACTCAGGACTACCTTCTTTTTACACAAAAAACAAACAAACAAAAAAGCTGCCGCCACCAGCTTTTACCGCCGTGCAGCGTCAAGCTGCAGCAAGCAAACAACAAAAAAAAGGAAACAGAAGCCAGCGACTCACAAGCATTCTTAGCTCTTGTACAGCTACAGATAGCTTCTGGGAGACATACCAGATTATTCTAAGGAGAAAAGATGTGGCAAAAGCCGAGAAATTATGCCAGCCTCTGATGCCCACAGCAAATGTATACGCTGTTTGGGGGACACACATATACCTCAGAAATGTGGCCTCAACAGACATGGTTCATGTGTCTTTAACGCCTGTCTCTGTGACCTCTCTACCTGCTTCCGAACTGCCCAGATCTGCTCTCCCAGAACTAGGGATCAATACTTCACCCTAACCACAAACACTGCATCTGATGGCATGGTACCTCTCTGGTTCTCAGAAGCAGAGCAACAGTGCTCCCAACAAGTGAAAAATGTTCTGCTGCATAGCAGGAGACAAACGACACACAAGACTTACCTATAGAAGTGGCACCAGTTTATACAGTGGTGTGCACACAGGGCACTTGAACCATCCAGGGCGCTGCTCCACCAAATACTAGAGTACATCATGCACCTGAAACAACAAAGTTTGTCAATTTCATCTCTCCCGTGCACATGGCCACCATTATGGCCTTCCACCCTCCCATTAATGAGTTCTCCATATTTGCACACCCCATCTCAAAAAGATTCTGGAAGGGCCTGAAGAACCTTCACCCACCTCAAAAACCCATTCAACCCATGTGGGACTTAGAACTAGTCCTGCACTCACTCACATGACCACCCTTTGTACCAATGGCAACGTCACCACTTACCTTTCTTACCATGAAAACATTGTTCTTTCTGGTGATCACTTCTGCAAGGTGAGTCAGCAAACTCGCATCTCTCACGTCCTTGCTTCCATACATGACCTTTCACAAGCACAAGGTCATTCTGTGGCTAAACCCATCCTTCTTACCCAAAGTAAACTCAGGATTCCATATCAATGAACTGATAATCCTGCCCACTTTCTACCCGAAATAACATCATTCCAGGGAAGAAGCCATATTACATGCCTTGGATGTCAGAAGGGCAATTGTCTTGTATCTCAATAGGACTGAATCCTTTCGATCATCCTAGAGATTGATAGTTTCCCGGGCTGAGAGATCCAAGGGAAAACCACTGTCTTCCCAATACACATCAAAGCTCATAACACCATGCATTACTATATGCTACTCGCTCCAGAATAAGACATTACCAATGAATCCAAAGGCCTACTCCACCAGAGCTATGGCGACATCTGCTGCTTTCCTAAAGGGAGTCTCATTCTGAAAAATTTACAGAGCAGCAACATGGTTGTCTAATCACACCTTCATAAAGCATTACACTATTCCACCATGCTCCACCACAGATACTGCTGTAGCCAACGCAGTTCTCTCCACAATGTGTAGCAATTGATCGAAGCTTACCATCTATCTCAATGGGCACTGCTACACATTCACCAACTGTGGAACACCCACGGGGACATCAATCGAAGAAGAAAGAGAAGTTACTCACTTCATGCAATAATGGTTATTCTTCAAGGTGTGTGTTCCCGTGGGTGCTCCACTATCTGCCCTCCTCCTCACTTCTTCGGGCAATAATAGCAGCCCACGAGGGCATCAAAGAAGAAGCAGAGGAGAAGTGGGCTGCACGTGCTACTTCAAAGGCGGGAGCGTCACTTCCCGCTTGCGCATGTGCAGCCCACCTGATTGCTGCTCTCAAAGACTCCAATTTGTGGAGCCAGGATGAGCCTGACACCAACAGTGGAGCACCACGGGGAAACACATCTCAAAGAACAATCGTTACTGCACAAAGTGAGTAATTTCTCTTTATTGAACACAGTTGGAAATTGAGCTCAGAACGTTTTGCGTTTACCCTAAAACATGATTGTAGCTCAGGCCTAGGCAAAATACGGCCTGCAGACCGGATCTGGCCTGCCAAGTCACCGGATCCAGCCCGTGGAGGTATCAGGGAATCCTAGGCAGGCTCCCCTGCTTTCCCTGCACGCCATGCAGAAAAGCAGCTATAGGGCTCTGTTTCTGTTTTGAGGACGGGGGAAGTTTTAGAAACCTCCCTGGTCCTAGCACATTCCCATTGGCCAGTTTTCTGGCAGAAACCAGCCAATGGAAGCTGCTTGTTGGAATAACAGGCAGCAAAGAAGAATCACACCCTCTCTCCTGGGCTCATTTATTCATGGAGCACATGGCCAGGCAAGCAGGCTGGCTGGCTGGGAAACATTTTAAGCTCAGCAGGCAGGCAGGCTAGTTTGTCAGCTGACAAGTAAGTCTCTTGGCCACAGCCTGCTTCTGGCACCCCAGCCCTTTCCTGCCCCAACTCTCTGCCCCCCCACTCAACATACCCAAACCCTCTGCCCCCCTCTTACACCTATACCCCCTTCCAGATCTGGCACCCCAATCTCCTGCACCAGATCACAATCCCCTCCTATCCTAGGTCACATCCCAAACCCCTTCACTACAGTCCCCTTGTGACGGTGCCCCCGGGGTGGGTGAACCCGAGGCCCCGAGTCCAGCACTGTCTCCTTAAGTCCGGCTGATCAGCTCCTCCTTGGCTAGCGGCATAACTCGCTTGACAGGCATCTCGCTGTGGTTTGCCTCCACCCGAGATGGAGGAGAGAAGGGGGCCCGGGCCTGCCCTCACTCGCGGGCCCCAGCCCTGGGCCCTAAGAACGTGGACCACGCAGCGGTCCTAGTCCAGCTAACAGGGTTGTAACCCTAAATGCGTTAGCCAACAGGCTTGGTTCGCTGCCCTGCCCTGGGCCACTTCCTCTCTCCCCCTCGCCGTCCTTCCCTCTTTCTCCAGTTCCCTGTCAGGTTGGTCCCTCCGGCCTTACCACTCGCTTCCTACTGGGCCTCCACAGGTGCTTGCCACCCCTCTCGCGGACCCTCTTCTCCTGCGTCCCGCGCACCTCCTACTCTATCCGGGAGGCTTTTAAATCTCCCGCTGCCCCAGACACCAGGCCGGACGTCGCCCTGATGTCATCGGCCTATCCCGGCCTTCCGACGGTAAGTGTGCCCCGGCAGCGCCAACGGGGCACTTACCTCCTGGGGTCCAGTGTGGGGCCTCGGTGCCCCGTCACACCCCTGCCCTACGTCGCAGCCACCTGCTTCATCCCAACTCCCTCCCAGACACCAGTCCCCCCTCCTGCACCCTAGTCCCTTACCCCAAGCTCCCTTCTGCACCCTACCTCCATTCCAGACCCCATATCTCCATTAATATCATGGAAGAGTACAGCCCTCGACCACTTTTAAAAATCTTGGAGTTGGCCCTCCCATCAAAAATTATTGCCCACCCCTGCTCTAGCTTGTGATATTAATGGTATAGTAAATGAATAATCTCATTAGAGATATCTTTGTGAATACAAAGTGTGTCTGAAATACAGTTGTTGATTACTGTTGTTATGCACTGAAGTCATGAGCCGTTTAGGAATTATGAAATATTTTTATCCTATGACATTTTTATGTTAATCTCTCCATAGGGGAAGCCTGTGGGAACGCCAGATGCTGGTGCTTATTTCCGTGTTCTATCAGAGCATGGAGTGGCTGCCTGTTTTACTGCACCAACTGCAATTAGAGCAATCCGTCAGCAGGACCCTGAGGCAGACTTGGGAAAGCAGTACTCTTTGACAAGGTGAATTGAGGATACATTGGATGTTTGTTACAGAAATAGACTCGATGGACTGAGGAGAGTATAATGTCTAAGCTTTGGACATTTAAGCAGTGGAACATAAATATATAAAATACCATATTTTATGTATATATGTGTAAATGTATATACAACATTATATAAACACGTGAGACTCGCGCACACACATACACACACTAAAATAATCAACATGAATTACACAAAAAGCATTCAAAAGATTAGGAATGCCTGAATTAAGGTTGTCTGTGCAACCTCCTGGTCTTCAATTAAATCATCACATACTGTTTTTTTTTCAAAGACTCTGTTATCATTCAGTATATAGCATAGACAGTGCTCACTAAATAAGCAGCTGTTCAATGTATTATTTTGTTCATTGTGTCTAGCCCTTATTTACTCCCCACTATTCAAAGCCTGCTCTAAAAACAAAATTATTAATTTCCCCAGGGGCTTTTCTGTGGTGCTCATCAGGATAGTGTTTGTGATGCATGCAGATGTTAAGTGGGGAGGTGATACTGTCCCCATTTTACAGATGGTGGGCTAAAATACAAGGAGATTAAGGTCAAAAGTTTAAACTAATTTTCGGTGCTTAATCTGAGCAACCTGAAATCTGAGTGTTCAGAGTTCTTAGCATTACATGGTGCACTCATGTTCAAAATACAGCTCCCACTGAATTCAGTTGCAGCTGTGAATGCTCAGTATTTCTGAAAATTGAAGTCTCCAATTGAGTACCTGGAAATTGATCACCTGTGAAAACTTTGGTTTAAGTGATTGCCTCGCACCATATAGGCACACTGTGGCCCAGGCAGGGCTAGAATCTAGTTTTCCAGAGCAACATTTACCATGTCTTAACCCTGAGACTTTCATTTATTTTCCTGTAATCTTCTACCCCATTCATATGTAATCTTCCAGTTTTTGCATCTAATGAAGCTGGTGGATCCTTAGAGTACTGTCCATTTTGTGCATTAAATGAAGCAAAAGTCCTACGAAAAAATAGTATATGATCATGTAATTAAAGATTCTGTCATAATGCATGTGCACAAGAGAGCAAATTCAGATTGCATAAACAATTTTAATTCTGGTATTTCCTAACTCTCCCATGCCTGTCCGCTCCTCACCATTGGCTCCTTGCTCTATTCTCCTTGCTTTGCCAGTTTTTGTTCCTCAGGCTTCTCATCCCAGTCTATGCCCAGCGAGTCCTAATTTTCCACTCTAGGCTCATGTTTGAATCCCAGTCTACTACAGTTGCAGAATTCCATTCCCTCATCCGATTCCAGTTTCCTTACTCAGTCAGTCCCAGTACTTTCTCCTCCCAATTACTCATCCTATCTTTCTCCTTCCTCTCAAAGCTCTTCCCAAAATCTTCCCAGTTCCTTGTCAGATTTGTCATCCATCCCCCACTGATTTTCTAATTCTAGTATCTTTGTCTGGCTGCTTGCAATCTCCCCTCTCCATTAGCTGCTCATGTGATCTGTATCCCCAGTGGCTTTGCTCAGCAAGTTCAAGCCTCACTGCTCGCCCCATCTCAGCCTCCCTGCCCCTATCTCTGCTCTAACCAATCCCGTTCTATCCCCTTCCAATTCTCTTGGTGTCACTCTAGACTTTGTCTTAAACTGCTCCATTTCTTCCTGTAGACCAGATTTTGTCCCTTCAGCATTTAAATATAGGGGCTTTCTCCTCCACTTTGCCTGGGTGCCATTGAGAGAACATGAGGGACAGGCTCCCTGCTCTCATTACAAGTGCCTGGCCCCACCATCTCCCAGAGCATCTGGAAGAGAAAATTAGAGGAAAAATCTGGTGTTGCCCTTTTCATCTCTGACTGAAGCATGCTCATTTGCTCTGTGGGAATAGCATGCCAAATCTGATTAGCATTAAGAGCTGTGAGAGAGTTGAGCATGATCAATGAGAATGGACTCTGGAGATTTTAGCTGGTAAAATTAGTCTGTACTGAGTGTGTGCAAATTTTGATTTTTTTCAGAGATTTGGAACTCAGCCAAATTTGGCTAGACTTTCACAGGGATGACAAAGACACATCCCTGTTACAAAGTCCACCCTGTGCCAAATTTCATATCCTTACTGTAAAGCATGGAAAAGCTAGAATTTTCCAAAGAAAACATTGCCAGAATATTTTAACATTCCGCAACAATGTATTTTTCTCCAGCTATTTCCGAGAATAAGGCTAACCTATTTTGTCTGAAACTTGAAAAAAAAAAAAAAAAAAAAAACAGTCTGAGGGAGTTGGCATGGAAAACCTCAGCTGTATTAGTTACAGTTTGATAAATTGTAAGCAACTGAAAACAATGTCTTTTAAGGTGAAGTGTTGGCTAGTCTAAATGGGCAGTGCACCCTGCCCCATCTATAACATAAGCATAATTTATTTTTAGCAAAGAGATATTTAAGGTTTTTTTTAATGTGCAGTTAAACAGTAAAATTGGAGTCTGGATGTTTCCTATCTGTGACTATCTCTCAGTGACTTTTGCATCAAATTTGGTCATCTCATAAATAGAGACAAAGCCTTTACGTGCCAGCCTTAAAGACTCCCTCTGGGATGTGATAGTCAAGCTGTTCTTTCTGGCTCCGATATCACCACTAATAAAGATTGTGCATCTGGAACCTAACTGACAGTTTGGTTGATGATGTGTGATCAAGAGCAGAATCTCTGAGTGTATACTTGAGATCTTTTGGAAGAGACTCTAGCTTTGCCAACACCTAGCTGTACATCTCCTTCTCCTCACAGATGGACCGATGCTTTCAATATACAAGCACCTGGATTAAGTATGTCTTAATTGGAAAGGAAGAGAGGAAAAACACTTGGAGCTAATCAAGGCATTATCAGCTGTCATGATAATGCTTGATGATGACTTAAGCTATGTTTTAGTCATAGGTGTTTTTAGTTAAAGTCATGGACAGGTCATGGGCAATAAACAAAAATTCAATGCCCATGACCTGTCCATGATTTGTATTCTATACCCCAGACTAAATCCTGGAGGAGGGACGCATCCCCAAGGGCAGCCTAGGGTATACCGTAGGTGCTGGTGGAGGGATGATAGGTCTGGCAGACTTCCTAACTGGCTCTGCACCTCGTCAGAAGCGATGACGTTCCCTTTAGCTCCAAGGCAGAAATGTGGCCAATGGGAACTGTGAATGAGGTGTCTGCAGGTAGAGGCAATGCTTAGAGCTTCCTGACTGTTGCCATTTCCAGGTAGCCAGTGAAGTAATTGCTGCCCAATTCCCTTACCCCGTCTGCTCCCTAACATGCAGCCTGAAGCCCTATCCCATACTCAAACTCCTGCTGCTGCTGTGGGAAGTGGTGTGCGGTGACCTGAGACTGCTCCAGCAGCAGGTGGTTCAACTGGAGAAGTCACGGAGGTCCCAGAAAGTCATGGAATCTATGACTTTTGTGACCTTCATGACAAACTCGCAGCTTTAATGATAATAAATTGTATAGCCAATTGCTTAACCATGTTTTGGTTATTATGAAATATATTCTAGAGCAAATGTCAGGAAGTGTCAATGTCAGGTTTATTGCTGCAATCCAATAATAATATAATTCAGGAAAAGGGTTCTGAACGATACCAGTCTTCAGAAACCATTTTGTGCAGTGATACATTAGGGCTACGTCTAGATTGCATCCCTTTTTCGTAAAAGGGTTGCAAATTAGACATATCGCAATTGCTAATGAAGCAGGGATTTAAATCTCCCCCGCTTCGTTAGCATAAAAATGGCTGCCGCTTTTTTTTGGCTTGGAGCTTTGCCGGAAAAAAGTGCCAGTCTAGACGCAGATCTTTCGGAAAATAAAGCCTTTTCCGAAAGATCCCTTATCCCTCTTAAAATAAGGGATAAGGGATCTTTCAGAAAAGGCTTTATTTTCTGAAAGATCCACGTCTAGACTGGCTTTTTTCCGGCAAAGCTTTGAGCTGAAAAAAGGCGGCAGCCATTTTTATGCTAATGAAGCAGGGGAGATTTAAATCCCTGCTTCCTTAGCAATTGCGATACGTCTAATTTGCATCCCTTTTACGAAAAAGAGATGCAATCTAGACATAGCCTAGGTGTTACACAGTCTGTTGGCAGTATTTTTAAGATGATTTTGTAAGTTACACGTTTCTTTACAAGTCACTAAAAATAAACCCAAGAGTTTGTTCCATTTCCTTTCTTTACCCTTGTTCTGAATACTAGCATTCCAGGTATTGGTCCATGAAAGTACCTTCTGGGTTCGTACCATGGTAGAATATTCTTGTTCTTTTCCTTTGGGATATTCTAATACTGGCTTGTAATAAGAACTCACTACCTGATACTAAGGTAAAATACTCATAAATCCTGATCCTTGACACCTTTTCTGTCTATTTAATCCAAAGATTAGGTCTATTAATGCAAGATGTCATGGGATATTTAGTACAGGATTATAGAAAAGGTGTAGGCCATTTTAGGGTATTTAATTTCAACAATATTAATATTTAGTGCATACTATGGACTGTATGTTTGTGTGTGTGTGTGTGTGTGTGTGTATACATACGTATAGATTTTATTTATATATAAAAATAATGTGTCAGCCAGATATATTGGTCAATAGTATGGTTTAGAGGTAATATACGGATTATTATTTCTCTGTGGTACTCCTCTGGCTGCAAACTGGTGTAACTGATTAGTGTGGTCTACTGGACTATTGCATCATGGACTGTTCTATTTTAAACATAACTTCAGGGATCACACACTGACATTTATTTTTATTTGCATAAAGCTCAAGTTATTGTGGCTTTGTGCAGGGAAAATCTACCCTGACAACTTGGGGTATGAGACACGGAGCTGCAACACAATCCCTGTGTTAGACTGTGGGCATGGAATACTACTAGGGTGACCAGGTAACAAGTGTGAAAAATAAGTATAATAGGCGCCTATAGGAGATAAAGCCCTGAATATCTGATATGCTCTACTAGACTTGTGCAATACTTAATCTTTGATAGATATTGGATAGTTCTTTGCCCATTAAA